GACTCCTCTTTATTACCATCTCCTGCATCTCTCCCTTCCTCCCCGCTTCCATCCTCTCCTCTGTCTCCTTAAACCACCACCACTGCCACACACAAAAACATACAAATTAAGAGTAAAATCTCCAGATCATTTGCAAATAATCATAAAAGTTTTGACCAGCAAGAATAGGAGAAAAGTGATACCAGAAAGCTAGGGATGAATTTCAATTATTTTTTCATTTTAATCCATTGCTCCTTTAAGCAGGGATTCGTAAATCACTTCAGAGGATGGGGCAAAATTATTGGCTGGTCCCACTTTTGTTTTGAGTTCTTGAGACTTAGGTAAGACATAATCCAAGACCGGAACATGCTCTTTGCTTTTCACTGTCCTTGACACCAGGCTTGAAGGACAACCCGGTACTGTTTCCAGCACCTTTGGCAAAGAGGAGAAGTAGGCAAGGTTAACACTGAGCATAATAGCCTGTGTTCTGTACACTCCACACAGAGCTGTGCAAAGAAATGGAGGCTCAGGGCAGTTATGCAATAGTGCCCGAGATTACTCAGCTCACAGGCATCAAGAGGCCTTGCTCTTCATCTGTCTGCACCCAAACTTTGAGTCCTTTCCCCTACGGCATGTTTCATCTCTGCAGGAGGCAGCAAGCAGCCAGAACCTTGCGCTAAGGTAAAATGGCAGTGGATCATGCACATGTATTCCTGTGGGTGCCGAGATATTTGTCTACTGCTGTCAAGGTCTTGTTCTCTCAACTTGTCGAATATGAGTGAAGAACAAAGAACGTTCTTCTTTGTTTTGCAGGTAATGATGAGAAATGTAAACTTTTATTCAACTATGTGAACTCAAGAATTTCAAGTTTATGATATTCAGTATTTCATAATCTTTTATTATTTTCCTGAAACCAGTGTTGTGTAAGAGTGCAAATCTTTGCTGGTTATCCTCTGGAACAAAGCCAAATATCTGTCCTGCCAAAGTAAAGCCAAATATGATGCAGTATTACATAATTTTATAATTGCAAAGAGTGATGTTTGATCATCTTGGGCAAACAAGGTCAACAGACATATTCTAAATTATTCTTATTATTCAGAAATAATGGGCTACAGGAAAACTTCTTCAATCAGTATGGTCGTTTCCTCTGCACAGGTCATTGAGAACAATTCAGACCCTGAAGTAAATTTTTTGTTCCTCCTGAGAAAAAAATTGTGTCCTTTTGTTTGTTTGGGAAAGCAAGTCCGCTAAGAAACTTTGCAATCTCTCTTGCATTTATAGAAGTTTTTCTTCCTATTGTGCTTCATTATAAACACTTTGTAGGTAGGATTGGAGAAAGTGGGCTGCTTGTCTTGCAGATGTAATGGTATATGACAATGGTTCCTGAATTTAAGCAAAGGTAATGATCACCGGAAGATCTAGTTTAAAATGAGGATTTTTTGAGCCCTACTCCCAGACATCTGACCACTCTGAGAAACTTAAGTCCATGGGGACTCCCATGGTTAATTAAACACCATATACCCTGCCAACGTCAAAACAAGAAATGAAAAGTAAAAAAGTTGGCACTCTCTTCATGGACAGAAAACTTTATAATAAATTCCTCCAATTCAAATTACTTTTATCCCCAAGTGGGATCAGGATGAGGGAAAAAACAAAATAAAAGACCAATGTCTGTGCTTTTGGTTGACTCCAATCTGAGCCCTTGGAGTCATGCACTAGCTTGAGTTTGAGAACTTCCTCTCCCAACCACCTCAGTGGACTCTCTCTGCAGAAAGCTTCCCTTGGCATCAGTGTGAATGATCACAACACTTTCAGGTGATACCTGAGATCCTGTGATGTGCCTACTGTTAGCTTGTACCAATCAGAAACTTCTGTTTCATTTCTGAGAGAGTCCTACTACTCAGCTTTCAGGCTAGTCCTCTAGTGTTCTTTGCTTTAGGAAAGGGCACCCGGTGCAGATTCTGCATGCCAGGCCTGGTGATGAGCATCTACACTCTCCTAAGGAACCCCTGATCCCCTCCACAGAGCAGTTAATGAGAAGTGTGGGTAGGGAGTCACGGGCCTCTTGCACTGTGAATGTGTAGTGCCCTTAACAAGAGGAGCAGGAATATTTGAGCATTTTTCTCCAAGAAATTAGGCCACAGGGCTTGACAAAGACTACGTTGTTGATCTTTATGATCCATGCCTCTCTAGAGTGTTAGCAAGTATTACCCATCCCTAGGTATCAGGAGGGGAAACTGAGGTAAGCCAGTCAGAAAGTGAAGTGAATTTTCCATATGACTATTAAATTCTTGACACCAAATCAATAGTTTCTGACCATTTGAGTGTGATGTATGTTCGGGTAGCATATGCTTACTGAGATAAGTCTTTGCATGGGTGACTCAGATGTAGTTGCAAAGTTATTGGACTGGTGTTTGAAAATGTTAGGACTTTAAAAATCTCTTAATTATGTACTTAGAACTAGCCAAAAGAAGCAATGACCTTTTGGTTTGTTTTTACTTTTTGCTGTGGCTATAGTTGTTACTTAAGTGTTATTAATGCTTAGGAAATCTTAGACTCTTAGGAATTGGGGAAAAAAACACTTACAACTCATAAACTTGTAATAAGTTTAAATGCCTTAAGACTTTCAGTTTTGGAAACTTTAATTCTTAGTCAATTTTTTATACACATTCTATCCTGTCAAGATACTTTTTAACTTTTATTTGACTATCTGCCCATGTGATAAAAGTTGTCTTCTGTCTATATGTAAGTTGTTGATTAAAATATTGAACAGAATAAGCCAAGCAGAGAACTGTGAGAAAATTAATCAACACTGTTAACATTGAGTTGCTGTTCAGTCAATTACAAAAACTTCTGCTGTTTCTTAATTTACTTTTTTCCAGCTCCTCCACCCAGGGAGCACAGACACTATCCACTGCCTTGTGAATCCCCACACTCTGTCTATGACACTGATCAGTTTCTCAGGCTAGAAATATTATCTCAAAAGGGAATGTGGAGGGATAGGGGGGGTGGAAAGAAAGGGGGCCTTACTATTAGCATGTATAATGTGGGGGGAGGCACGGGGAGGGCTGTGCAACACAGAGGAGACAAGTAGTGACTCTACAGCATCTTACTATGCTGATGGACAGTGACTGTAATGGGGTTTGTGCAGGGGGACTTGGTGAAGGGGGGAGCCTAGTATGAGAAACATAATGTTCCTCATTTAATTGTAGATTAAGGATACCAAAATTTAAAAAAAGGGGGAATGTGGCTAGTTTTCTTCAGTACCCAATCTCTGGTACTCAAGAAGGGGCCACTGCTCCAGGTGCTCTAGGCCCTTATCAATAGGCCATTCTGGAACAGATCCAGAGAGTTGCCCAAGAAGAAAGCCAGCCTCATCTAAGTCCATCTTTTGGAAACCAAGATCAATGGCTGCTTGCCTCTAGTGTTCCAGCACCGCTCTGGCTTTCTGTGATGTCTCAGATGACTATGGCTTCACAATCTCATCTGCAGATTATTTCAAGGCCATAGGACATAACTCACTGATTGATCCAACCACTTGAACAAATTTAAAGAAGCTAAGTGTTTTCTTAACATCTCCATATATCTTGGGCTTCAGGCCTTTTTCTTAACTGTGCTTGCCTGATGTTTTCAATTTGCCAAACATTCTGTTAGTTGAAAATATGGAAGCAAAAAAAGAAATAAGAGAGCTCTGCCTTCTGACACCTATTTATCTTACTCTGTCTTCACTGACCAGTATATTTGTTCTCTGTTTGATACGTTTTATGGTTGATAGTATTTTCCATGAAATCTCTCTCTGTCTCGTGCTTCACCTGTTTGCTCCATTATGTCCATAATTTGTTCATATCTTTCTTTGTCTTTGTTGATCAGTCTGTCTCCTTATTTCTTCATCTACAATTACATCTCATTTCTGAGAGCTTCCTATGTATTTTATGCTATATTGTCTTTTTGCAGTTTCTGGTAAATGAGAAAACGTCCAGCATTGCTCTATACTTCCTGAAACTGGCTTTGCATAAGCCCTACAGCCTTGAATAACAACCCCAGGCATTCTTCTCCTTCTCTTGCTATGAACCTAAAGATGCTGTCCCAAATATTCTGCCTCTTCCGTATCATAGGCTTCGTGGTCATATTGACAGACATTTACCTCATTTATTCTTCTCACGTTTGAGCCACAGAAGAAGTTTTTAGCCTCTCTTCTTTAGAAGAGGTAGACTTCCTCAGACCCAGGTAACTGAAGGATCTCTTCACAGCTATATCCTTCCGCGGCTTCCGTTTTGTAATCAGCTTTGGGGAAGCTCCATCCGTGTGTTCTGTTGGACTAAGTGGCCTGTGTTGTCCATACACACCTGGGAGCTAAATGTTGGTTCAACTGCTAAAATAAGATTAGAGGTACAAAGAGAGCCCTAATTGAAGCTGTGCAGGATGCTGAAACTAGGTGTTAAGACAAAGGAAGCTGTAATTAGTAAGCCAGAAGAAGTCTAAGCGTTTTTCCAAAAACTGAGGGCCTAGAGGCAGACTAAGTATCAGAGGGCCAGGTAAAAAAACAAGTTAGGTTTTTGTAAAAAGTTAAGTTAGGAAAAAAGTCTGTGCTTTAATATCTAGACACCACTGCAACAGCTAACTTTTACTGAGTATTTCTATGTGCCAGGCACTAGTCTATGGCAGGTACTGTATGTCAACTGTGCAGATGACAAAACTGAAGTACAGAGTGGTCAAGTTACTGCCCAAGACCGCACTGCGATTAAATGGAAGAGTCAGGATTTGAACCCAGGTAATCTGGTTATAGAATTCATGTCCTTAACCACCTTATCTAAATCTGTTAATTTTCCTGAGGCCATTTTCCTTGTTAATCCTCCTGGAGAATTACCAAGGTCTCATTAATTATTATCTTTTTTTACCCTAATATAACTAGTGTCCACTTCGGTTTCATATTTTGGAATACCATCTGTGTAAGTTTTTAGTCTTCTAATTTACTTGTATCTTTTTCAAATGTATACATGTGCCCTTCTGTAAGCATTATTTGAGTGCCTACTGTGTTATAAGCAGTGTGCCTTTGGTTCTTACCTTTAGGGAGAATCAGTCCAGACCTGGGGTTCTGATTCAGGGCCAATTAATGTTTTTAAAGGATCCACAAATGTGCAAAATCTGTACAAAATGTGTGTACATTCACCTGTGGTTTTGAGCATATACTTGCAGAACAGAACTGTCATCAGACTCTCAAGAGTCTATAACCCCCTCCCGTAAAGGTGAGAATCACGGGTCTAAAGAGACACAGAAATAATAAAATACAGTGACATCCTGAATAGCAGCCATGCTCTCAAACATGCTTTCCCAAACTTTGTGAGACATACTCTCTAGGTGTCAAGGTCAGTCCTTCCTAAGTTACATGATACTTTTAATACTATCTAATGACTGTCAAGAATTGCAAAGGATCTGAGATTTTACCTACTTATAAACAAGTTGGCCTGACACAATTTGATGGATGCTAGCAGAAGACACAAGACTTCTAGACTAAAGACTTCATTCTTCACAGCAACAGCATAGCTAGAGTATTGGCATTGATGCCAGCTTCCCAAGCCCTGATTACTAGAAGGTTGAAGGTAATGTGAAGAGGGCCAAGTGATACCTGGATGTACAATGGTTGTGTTACAGAAGAGGAACCCTGAGATTAGGGAACTCAAATCTTTAATTATGGATGGTAAGCCTCCAAGAAGGTGACATTATTGTTATTATACTGGACAGTAAGCATTCCTGGTAATTCCTCCACAGGGAGGCACTGTCTGTATCTTGCAAGGCTGTTCACTACCCCAACAGCTTTGAAAAGACAGTCTAGGACAAAAGCAGTCAGGACCTCTACTAACGAGGTGTGCACTTCTCCAGTGTGTGACTTTTACGCCAGGTAAGAGTTCCCTGATCCTTTGCCCTTTCCCTGTGCTGACTTCCCGTTCAGCACCCTTCCACAGAGTGCACTCCCACAATGTATCCTAAATGTCTTCTGATGGCACCAGTTTAACTAGAACAACTACTGGGATTTTGTATATGATTTTGGGGTGTAGGTAGGGGGTCCCAGTTATGAATGAAGGAGACGAGCCAAGGGCAGAGACGAAGCCTTCAGTTGGGACACTAGGTACTTCTTTCACCCAGCTAATGTATGCCTCTGTGCTGTATGCATACCCACTGTGGAGATGGGGAAGGACTAAAACTTTTAGTCCTGTGAGTATGAAACAACTGAGAGCTGCTGATCCAGCCCTTCCAGATTAAATAGCAAAGCATCACACCAATTCCTTGAATTGGTTTTCAAGGAAATCACAATACTGTGCATTACAGACTCAAAGTTTACTCTTTTGCCCACTTCAGTGAGGGTAACTAGATATTTTTCTCAGAAATGTAGACAGGGAACACTTTAATGGTTTTTTTGAAGGTGAAAGCACAAAGTAGCATATTCTAAGTGAAAACAGATTAGGCCATCTTCCTAACATCTAGCTTTGTGATAGGGAAAACCAGAGAAGAGTCTATTTCTTGCACTGTCATTTCAGCAGCACATTTGGTGGAGTCATAACCACAGTGAAACATTTTTGTGAAATAAATGCCTATATCCTCTGTGAATGTGATTCCATCTCTGATTAGTACAAATGGTCTATGGGGAAAAGAAGACAAACCATTTCCATCTTTCATGTTGTATGCAATTAATAACCACAAAGCATATGTAACATCCATGGAGCACCAGTTTCAGACTCTCCTCTGCCCACTCCCTCCACACACACAACCCAAAAAACCTATGGTAAGTAGCTGTTAAAGAATATATGGAATCATTCATTTAAAAAACACAATATTTTTCCTACAAAGACATACTTTATAAACTGCAGAACTTAGACATCCAGAGGTGCTTAGACTCTTAAATTGTTAAAAAAATAATGTAGAAAAGAGAGAAAGAGTTAAGATGAGAAACACAGATGGAGAAATAGAGTTAAGATGCAGGGGAATATATTCAAAGGTAAGATTAAAAAGAATAGAGATGGGAGAACTATGTAAAAAAAAATTGACATGAGCACTGGTGACTTAGCCTGATGAGAGAAACATTTGAATTATTTCATAAACCAGAGCTTTTAACCCATTCCCAGGGCCTCCCATCTCTCTGCATTCTTTCCAGCAAAATGTGTAACTTAAGGCAGTATTTACAGAATCCTCATGAAAAAGATATCTTTAACTATTGTTCCATTTCCATCACTTTTAGCAAGTCAAGCAGCTTCCAGCCATGATTTTTTGCTCAATGTTGGAATTTTTCAGTGTGAAATCGCTTATGAAAACATGGAAATTCTGCCAAAAGGTCAGCTTTTTTGATGGCACCTACAAAGAACAAAGTGGTTTGGCATAAAATACTTTTACAAGGTTATCATCAAATTTAATTTAAAACAAATTAAACAGTCCAGTTCCCTTGTTTATTGTGAACCAACAGAAATCATTTAAACCATGCTTCCTCCAGATGCACAGAACCACTTCAGTCTCAGCGGACTCTGGGCAGGGAGCCTGCCGCCCTCGGGTTCACAGTCCTGTTCACATTGACCATTTGTGTCACCTTGACAAGATCACTCCCCCTTTTGGGATCTTGTTATTTTCTTTATAAAATTAAGCCAGTTGTTCTCAGACTCACTCATGTGAAGGATCAATCTGAAGTCAAGAATAATGTACCATGTTGAACTATGGTGAATTTAATTAGACTGAATCAAATAGGGACAATTTCAGACTTAGAAAATTTGACTGTATTATATGATCCTGGTACTGGATCAAACCTGGGAGCACAGACATCCATTAAAAAGAAAAGAAGGAAAAGGGCAAGAAAACAAAAAAAATCATCCAACTAAACATGATCAACTGTTTGTAAATTACCTTCATAAATATTTATTTTCTATTTATTTATTCCATCTTGTCATCAGCTATCACTTGCAGTGCTACTGGCTTTGCAGGAATGGGTGGGAGGAAAACTTCTGTCCATTAGCTTTCTGCTAATTAGGAAAGGTCCAGTTTTCAATGGTAGCTATGAAATGTCCCTTTTTCATGGTAAATAGCAATGGTCTGCTAGAGGATGGTCTTCACTGGCTCTAAAAAGTCTAACATTCTATGCTTTTACCATATTTCTGTTGTTGAATAAAAGTCTGTGAGAGCCGAAAGAGCTTCTAGTCAAATCCCTAATTTGCAGATAAAGCAAAGCCAGACCAAGGAGGTTCTGAGCTTTTCCTAAACTCATTCACCTGGCTACAGAGTGGCCCTGTTTTCTGGTGTACTCTGTGTTTTTCCACCCTGCAAGCTTGAGTAATAACAAAAAGCATACACACTCCAGTGCACAGTTAATTCTGTTGATGTTCTCTCATCATTTGTAACTTAGTCAATAATTATTTTTTCGGTTGAGAGTTTGACATTAGAAATCTCATCCCTAGCACATAAGATTCTTGTTTGCTTAAAAGTTAAAATTTAATTAAAATCCCCTTAGTTCTTTTTAAGCAAGAAGAGATGGAAAAATAAATATGCAAAGCAGTGGATTTAATTATGAATTGATTAGGCCACTGTTCTAAAGTATCTGTTGTTGTTTTGTTACCATGGTGGGTTCCATTCATTCTTGTTCAGTTTATGAGCTGTAATGAAGTCCATGTGTTTGTTATTTACATCAGCACTAAGTCTGCATTTATCTGTTGCAGAGAATGGCAGAAGATTCAAAAAGACATTTCTGAATTTCCATGAGCAGAGGACCCCTGGATCCTCCTGGGAAACCTAAATGACCCTTGGGGACTGAAAATGAAGTACCCCAAAACTCCTGTTGTGATGGGGAACAGCTCTCTTGGTGGGTGGCAAAGAGGCCACGTTCTCACCTCCTATATTGAAAATCAAAGTTAGTGAAAGATGTGAATTGTAGCATCTACTCACAAATCAAAACACAAACCTGGTGATTCAGACTTGCTCCTTCACTCAACTAATAGCCAACTTCTTATATAATTACTATCTCTGGCTCCTACAGAGCAATTTAGCCTCTCATTCCTTTTCTAGAATGCAATTGGATTTTTCTGAGGCTAAAATTCCCATTCTTTAAAGCATCAATAAATGGTAAAATACCTCTCTCCATTTCTAAAGTGAAGAAATCTGCAGATGGACTTACTGCCTGGCTCTGACTCAGCTCGAATCAGGGGGAGATTGCCGAGGAGAAAAGCAAGCTTCATTTGTCATAGTTTTATTTTAGTTGGCTTATTAGACCCGTAATAATCACTTCTATGTCATAGTGTTATTTGCAACACAAAACCTAGCTGGTTTCTTTTCCATAAATGATAATTATTCTACCTTTTAAGGGCCTGATATGAACTTTAAAGAGGTTTATCATCCAATTATCTCTCTTGCAAAGATTTGGGGATTATTCAAAAGAACAAAAGGTGTGTTCTCATTTATTACAGCAAGGTCCTTAGGTTGCAGCTGATTCTCCTAAAGAAGGCTAAGGCTATTTGACACTAACCGAATCACAAGATCATGTGGGTGGAGGACATCAGATTTTGCAATGTCTTGCTGAACCATATCTGACTGTGGATAAAACAAAGGTTCCTGTGGCCAGGATTCTCGCCTGGCCCTGGTTGGCTAGCTCACTACACACCTGTGGGCAATATGTTCCATTGACTCTACATAAAGAACTCTGACCAGTGCTCTGGGCAATACATTGGTGGCAGGGCTGCAAGGCTGCAGGAGAGCAGAGCAGAAGCTGTAGTGGTGGCAGCACCCAGGACAGGGGCCTAAAGGACGGCTGTGGGGGCAGAGAGGCCCACAGGCAGAGACTGGCTTGCTGCATACAGACTCGCTCTGAGTGAACGAGATTTTAGTGATTGACCTGCCACTGTGGAAATAAAGTTGAATATAACTCTTTCACCCCAAGTATGTTTTACTTTCATTTTCTTTGGTCACATCAAACCCATAGTGAACTTGCCCGGGGCTGAAACCCATTGGCAAGACAAGCCTTTTGAATTTTTCCTAGACTCAGAAAATCCTGGTAAAGACTGCACATCTCCTCTTGAGACTCAGTTTTTTGCACAGAGCTGGAGGGCTCAACAAATGTTTGCTGACTCGCACAGAAACTCAACTGTCTCCAACTACCTCCTTATTCATGGCTTACTTAGTCTGCTCCTTCCCTCCAGCAGCAGGTGAGAACAGCTACCACTTTCTCTGTTAAAAAGCCTGTGGCATCTTCACAAGCCAGTTAGTCACCAGTTGTTCCTTCAGGGTCCTCTCCTCCTACACAACAGAACCCGTTTCAGTGACTGTCCCAAATGGACCCAACAAGGAAGAGACACCCCACAATTTAGGACTCTATTCTTTAGATCAGTATTACAGGGTCAAAAGTACAGGTGGAATAAAATCATTTTTAAACACTCATTTGTTTACTAAGTTTGTAATGATTAAGCATTTCATGCACCAGGCACTGAGCTGTATGCTGGTAAATCAAGCCTACCGGAAAATGACATTTCTTTCCTAAGAACTAGTATGGGAGAGAAAGATTTATGAAAAGATTACTTAGAGTGATGTCGTAAGTATGATGAAGGACATTATATTTTCCTTTATCATCAGTGGAATCTTCCTCCACAGTCTAGAAGATGTTTTCTAAATCTTCTTTGGGATTAGCCCACTTACAGAGATTTTTAAATTTCAATTAAAACGAATTAGGGGATTTTTAAAGAGGGAAAAGACAAAAATAAATACCCATTTAAAATGCTACATACATTAATCTTGAAGCTACATATAAAGTTATAAGCACTAAGTAAATATTTTGTGTTTTTTATGGTCTTTTTAACATTTTTTCCATGTATTTTCTATTAACAAATCTGTTTGACTTTAATAATAACAAAAAAGAGGGTTTTTAAAATTTTGCTTTCTATCTTCTACAAATGTACTAATTAGATCTGTACGACAAAAGGATGGGTGATACTAGGGAAACTTTTACGTAATATGCCCTTTTCTGTCATTATTAGCATGTGTGGATAACTGGAAAATAGCCGATTACAGGGTGTCAGGCCTGCTCAGTCAACTTATGGCTCTGGCTCTTTATCTGAGAGATTAATTTATTCTCTCAATCTATATTTATTTTGCCTTTGAACTTGGATCATGTGTAGTAAAAGTCCTTTGACGTCTAAATAAATATCTGTTTTATAGTCTCAAAGGTCAGAGACCTCTACATGCAAGTTCAATGTCAAATCACAGTCATGCTGGAATAAGTCAAATAAGTTTATATCCTGAATTCACTCCTCAATATCAAAAGCTATAGAAAGGTGGGCCTCTGGATTGTTATCTTCTTTCTAGATGAATCTTTAGACTCCTGAGCTGTGATACCTGTTCTAATTTAGTCTACTTCATAAGCAAAACAAGTTTTTTGAAGAAAATTCTGCTCCAAAATGATTTCATCAAACACATCTATTTACGCAGATGAAAATCAGACTGTCCTTAATCAAATGGTCTTAGCTTCAAGAGGTACTAAAAGGAAACTTTATTTAAAATTATTAAAAGAAATACAAAGTTTATTTCAGGTTCTTTTTACAAGCCTCGCTTTCTGTCCAGCTTCCCAAAATTAAAGCATGAGCTCCCTCTGCTGAATGAATTAACACATGTCCAAGAAACAATCTAAAACATTTCTGCATTGCCTATTCCATTATGTTCTTAGACACGTAAACAATTTTTAATCATAAAACCGTTTTCTTTTTTAAAGTCATGACTATGATATAGAATGGAATGGAAAGGCAGAGAAAAGGAATTCACAAGGTAGTATTTCATTAGTTGAGATTTTTTTCCTAAGCACTGATACATGTCATAGTGGCACTTTGTAACCATCATTTATGAAACAACCAAGAAGTGTTTACAAGCCCCTGTTCTCACACCTACCCTATTACCTGGTTTTGGTTCTTCATAGCACCTATCATACCTGAAATTATATCACTCATTTATTCATTGATCTGGTTGTGATTATGGCATGTATTTCCCTACTAGAATGTTGACTTCCTGAGAGAGAAGGCCCTGTCTGTGCTCTCAGCACCTGGAACAGTACCTGGTACACACTAGGTACAATCTACAGATTCAATGCAATCCCTATCAAAATACCAATAGCATTCTTCAATGAACTAGAACAAATAGTTCTAAAATTCGTATGAAACAAAATGGTCAAAGCAATCCTGAGAAGGAAGAATAAAGCAGGGGGGGATTATGCTCCCTAACCTCAAGTTCTACTACAAAGTCACAGTAACCAAAACTATTTTGTACTGGCACAAGAACAGACCCATACATCAATGGAACAGAATAGAGAACCCAGATATAAACCCACACATATATGGCCAATTAATATATGATAAAGGAGCGATGAATATACAGTGGAGAATAGACAGCCTCTTCAACAACTGGTGTTAGCAAAACTGGACAGCAACATGTAAGAGAATGAAACTGGATTCCTGTTTAACTCTATACACAAAAGTAAACTTGAAATGGCTCAAAGACCTGAATGTAATTTATGAAACCTTAAAACTCATAGAAGAAAACATAGGCAAAAATCTCTTGAATATAAATATGAGCAAAATTTCCCTGAACACATATCCTTGGGCAAGGGCAACAAAATAAAAAATGAACAAATGGAACTAAATCAAACTAAAAAGATTCTGGGAGTGGAGCCAAGATGGCAGTGTGAGTAGGGCAGTGGAAATCTCCCAACACCACATATATTTTTGAAAATACAACAAATACAACTATTCTTAAAAGAGAGACCAGAAGATTCAGGACAACAGCCAGGCTACATCTACAGCTGCGAGAACCCAGCGCCTCACAAACGGGTAAGATACAAGCTGCGGCCTGGCGGGACATGAGCACACCCCCCACCCCAGCTCCTGGTGGGAGGATAGGAGTCAGAACAGGGAGGGAGAGGGAGCCCAGGACTGCAAAATACCCAGCCCTAGTCATCCGTACTGGGAGCATAGACACACAGTGCATGGTGTGCTAGATACAAGGGAAATGGAACAGTAACGCCTGTGAGCAGGTCCCCATTGCTGGCATCCCTGGGACAAAAGAAAAGCAAGTGCTTTTTGAAAATCTTAAAGGGACAGGAGCCTCACAGCTGGACGGAAGCTTCCCTGCACACTCAGTCCAGCAGCTGGGAATCCTGGGGAAGTCAGCTTAACCCCTGGGTGGGAGCGCAGCTCTGAGACCCCCTCACTGCAATAAACAGCCCCCCACCCATTCCCCCTCCAGCGCAGCCCTGCAGCAGCGGAGCAGCAGCCTGAGACTGGCCACGCCCACAGCAGCCGCACAGAGCTTCCTCCACAGTGGCCTGGGCAAGAATCAGAGACCCTGTCTGCACATAGCTGCCCAGCACAAGCCGGTAGGGGTCGCCGTTCTCCCAGGAGAGGAAGGCAAGGAGCAAGTGGGAACAGATTTGTTCTCCCAGCTGACACACATGCCAACTGCCCATGACTACCTCTAT